TGTAGTCAGCCGCTGGTCAGTTTCAGCAGCGGCTGAATCTGGACGCCAGTTCCTACTTACGTACAAATTCAACTTAAGAACAAACCTACAGTCCTTATCTCGTACGTAACCCGGGGACTGCCTGTACTTTATTGCCTGATGAGTAGTAGAACCTTGTGTAGCAGCAACACCACTAAAAATGACATTCTGGTTGGTTCTCAACTATTTGCCTATAAAATAGCAAACCAGATAAGTAATACAGTTTTGAGTTCTAAACAAGGTAGTCACAGTGAGATATGCAGGAGTCTTATGACACAGACATATAGCTACCTTAATCCTGCACCTTTATAAAACGGGATGTATTACTATGGTGAAGTAAAAGCAATTACTATGATGTATCATTATTTTACTTTTAAAAAACGATGCAGTATTAGTGAAAAAGTGATCCAAGTCCTGTGTGTACCATATCAATGCTACAGCCTGTCCCTTAAGATTTCATAGAAACTATTACTGGTTTTTACAGATTTCCAAGAATGTGTGTACACCTTACCTTGGTTTTTCAGAATAATTATGCTCAAACTGTTTCCACTCATTCTTACTGATACAATAAATCCAGGCATCACCTGTAAAAGATATATTAAGCCTTTCACTGTTGTCAGAACAAGCATGTTCTCGTATAACATAATAGCGTTTAAGCACCTGTCTCCCCAGTTCCTCAAAACTGAAATTTGCAATTTGTGCTTGGCTGTGCGAAAACTTGCTCTCAATAGTGGATTTCGGTGGCTGGGGCAGGGTGGGGAACCCATGCTTTCATCCCTTGCCCATACTAATAGCAAAACTTTCATTTGAGAGTGAAGTCTAAAATAGGGGATGTTAAAATGCATTTATTTAGGTAAATGTGTAACCACTGAACATTTCAGCTGTTACATGTTTACATGTGGGGGTGGCTCCCTGAGAGCTGGTGTGCAGGGGAGAGGACTAAAGTTGGTTCCTTGTGCACACCGGCTTCCATGGAGCCTCCTCCTCCCAGCGCTGATCCAGAGGCAGCATGTAACGGTGAAGGTTCACCATTGAGCCCACATTTATTGGTTAGCTGTATACACATTTACAAGTTCACATTCCTAAGCTAAAACTGAACAAAATACTTCAAATGTGAGCTATTACCTCGCACTCAGAGCTGAGAGTGGAACAGTTTTGTAGAAAAAGAAAAATCTAGCCACAAAGTTTAACAGAAATTACTATTATTTCCTCCAGCTCTCACTCCACACACCTTCAGGTACAGGAGGGGCTTTTATACACAAACACTGAAAACCTTGTATGTTTTTTAAATATGTGCTGTTAAGTCCCTCAATCAACAAATCAAATGATATATTCTGTACACGTGTAGGTATGTAATATTTCCATTTATAGAAGGAAGATTCCTAAAATACAAGAGACACTGTTGAAATAATGAAACACTTTCTGTGCAGAAAACCACTTAACTATGAAAACTAGGTGTCATTTCATGTTGGGTAGCCGTGGCGTCCAACCAGTTCCGAAGCAGTTGCCATTACAGTGTCTACTGCTATAGCAAACTAGCCACACTCAACTGGCCAAAGAGCCACATGTGACTAGTGGCTAGGCACATTGGACACTATGGGTGTGTAGTATTATTAATAGTTTTCATAAGCCTCTCTAAACGTGCATCTGATCTCAAAGTTTACAAAACAAAGAGCTGATTATATGTTGAATTATACAAAAGTAATGGTGCTTTTTAAGCAACATTAATTGCATGATGGCCAATCTGTTGATGATGTAATTTTTGTTTTCCCGGGGCGGGGGGAGGGGGTTAAAGTAGCTTATACGGTTTGGAGACAGCAGTAGACATCTTACCACTCTGGGAGGTGCTTGCCATCATGTTCCATTCATCTGAACAGATTTTACACACAACAGGTGACTATAATCAAATAGCATTTTTCAATATGCCTAACATATTCAGTACTGACAAGGCTGAACAAGTCTACAGCAGGTCACCTAGCTACACGAATTTCCACATTGCTAAAAAAAGTGAGATCTCAGCTTCTGGCTGGACTTGGAACATTCTATTTAAAAAAAAAATGCCATTGCTGTTATGAGAAGTGAGCAATAAGCACTGCTAAATGTTACCCACAGGAACTGTCAATGGCTAGGACTCTAGAGAAGAACTCAGGAGACCTGGGTTCAATTCCCAGCTCTGTCACTGGTTTGCTGGATGACTCTGGGCAAGATACTTCATCTGTGCCTCAGTTTCCCCATCTGTAGAATGGAGACAGCGGTACGGACTTCTGTAAAGCACCCCGAGTACTGTCGGGGTGGGGGGGGGGGGAAGGAGAGTAGGGGGAGAAGCACTAGGTATTACCAAGACACTGATAGTAAACAGTAGACAGGTAAACAGTCTCTTGAGCATGCACCTTTTTAGAATTTGGAGTGTAATGTTTTAGAATTACTCACTCAGTGGCTGCTTATCAGTGGTAAACCCTCCAAAGAGAAACAGGTGATCTGATGAAACCGGAGTTAAGGAATGCCAAGATCGGCCTACTGGGCAAACACCTTGTGTAATTCTGCATTTAAAATAAAAAAAAAGTACTCCAAGTTACAGACCAGCTAAAATATAATGCATAGTTTCTTGGTTCTAATGACTTCAGATGAAATGCATGCATTTCAGTACTGGATACTACCTTTGACCAGCTACTAGCAGCAACTGAGTTTCTTGGTGAGGATGGCACAGTTCGTTTCTCAACAATTACAGGTCAGATTTCATGGAAAGTTACTGCACACAGACTAATCCAATGACGACAGAATAGTCTCAAACAGCAACAGTCTCCACTTTAAAATCAGTGATAGCCAGTGAAACAAAGGAACTAGAACATTAAATTGTTCAGTCCTACCTCTAAAAGCAATGCATTTGCTTGTAAATACTTAGCCATTTGGTTAGTACGATTTGCAGGTGAAAAGGCACATCCAGAAATACAATTAAGTACTGCCTTAAAAGTAATAGCTTTGATACCTACATTTCATTCCACTCCCATGTGTCCAAATTAAGATAATAAAGATCATTCATTCTAGAATCCTAAAATAAAGATAAAATTTGAATGAAATATTCACTTTAGAGATTCAGCAGCAACACTCACAAGAGCAGTTTTACACTTACTCGGTATCTGCCTCCGAACACATAACCTCTGTTCCCCACAGTAGCACAGGCATGGGCTGCTCGGGGTGAGGGGGACTTTCCCTGAGATAAGAAAACATTAAAATTAGAAGAAAGAGTTGGTTGGTAATGTTATTCAGATAATGGTACTGAGAAGAGGCTGGAAACTGGGAAAGAAAATCCACCCGGTGATCTTCAACAGCCCCCAATCACACAGATGTTACAGTTAAGACACAACAAATACAATTTCCCCCCAGACACTCATGATCAGCTATGAGGACAGAAATGCTGAATTAGCACTCTGATTTAAGCTGAACAGCAATAGGTGAGGACAGGGGAGATAAATGAGGTTGCATTTGTCTAAGAGAGGCACAAGTTTACTTGTTTGTGTTGGAGAGGGTTGGAGCCATCTGAGGAGAGAGGAAGGGAAAGGGTGTAATTAAAAAAACCTTTAGGAATACCATGTCTGGCCTTATGGAGGACTTAAGTTGGCTAGATGAGGAATTCTCAGACCTTCATTGAAAGGATGAGGGGGGAGGCAACTATATATTCTTTTTGCAGATGTTTCTAGGGCATGAAGTCAACTCTTTAAAACCTTTGACTTACAAAATGTCACTTCCCAGATTTTACTACCTTGGTATCCATGGCAATACAATCCTATTGGTTTGCTTCTCAACACTTCAGACTTTAATGTCCAGTATGTGACACTATACCACAGTCATTTTTCTTTACCTTGATCCTCCAAATCAGCAACCAAGCAAGTTTGGCAAATTCAAGAGCTAAACTAGTTGAGAACCAATTGCCATTAGTGAAACAGACAAGCTTTGTAGGTAGAAAACCAGGACATGTCTGGCAGCATAGCTTCTTGTTGCTAAGAAAGGCAGGTGTTTTTGGACAGGACACAGGCAAGTGAATTGATTGGTTGAGATGGAATTCAGCCACAATCTTTGGAAAGAATTTGAGGTGCAGTCCAAAGGAAACCTTGTCTTTATGGAAGACCATATAGGGGGCATCTGCCATCATGCTGGGAGCTCATTGACCCTTGTGGCCACAGTGATGGCAACCAGGAATACCATGATCATGGAAAGGTGGGTCATGCTACGGGGTGTCAGACTCATAAAGGGTGGTCCTGTAAGAGCCAAAAGGATGAGGTCCAACTAGGGTTTGGGACTGACAAACAGCAGGAAGGCTGTGAGCAAGCCATTCATGAAGCAAATTGTTGTAGGGTGTATAAAGATACAGCATCCTTCTACCGGGGGAAGGAAGGTGCAAAGTACCACCAGACAGACAGACAGACAGACAGACAGAAGTGAGCGCTAAGCATGATGTTTTCAGGGCAAAGAGGTAACCTATGACAGTCCCATCTACTTTTCCAAACTACTGTACCCCTTTCAGGGGTCTGATTTGTGTATCACCAAGTTTTATCTCATTTAAAAACGACTTGCTTACAAAATCAGATATCAAAACCCAAATGTCACAGCACACTATTACTGGAAATTTGCCGAGTCATTTTTACTGTATAACTGACCAATCAATCAACTGGAATATAAAGCATATAAAGCAATATAAGCAAGTCATTGCCCCGAACAATTTTAGTTTATCCCAACTTGACTAGTGCTCTTTATGTAGCCTGTTGTAAAACTAGGTAAACGTCTATATCGGCTGAGGTACACCCTGGAAGACCACTGTGTACTCCTGGTTGAAAAATCACTGATCTAGGACAACCAGGATGGACACCAAGTCAGGAGAGTGGAAGCGGTGATGGGACTTCTTCAGGAGTGACATCACTGTGCCTGGTAACATGTTCTGGTGAAGGATCTGCTGGACTGGGTGAGAACATAGAGTCTGCATTAGACACCTATCCAAACACCAGGCCATGAGATGAAGGAAAGCCTGAGCTGCTTCAGTCTGGTGTCAGAAGATTCAGGGCTAGCTGGCGCCAGACCCGTGATATGGAGGAGAGATTCAGGAGGTCTGTGAACCAAAGCTTCCAGGGCTGATGGGGTGCTATGAAGATAATGGTGGCTCTGTCCCAGCAACCCTTCCAATTCAGCAGGCCAGGCCAGCTGGTCAGTGTACTGGCAAAGCAGCACCAACAAAGCATCTGGAGCCATGCTTGCAGACGGGCAGGCTAACTGTCCCAAACCCAAGGGTCACTGGCAGGTTAGACAGATCTCACTTTTTTGAACAACATCTCTCTCGACCTGACGCTGGTTCAAGGAGAGAAAGTGTCTCTTATGGGCAGTCTGTTGAGTGATCTGCACTTGTGCCTGTGAGTGTTTTACATTCTTGTGGTTGGGTTTGTCCTTAGACTTCAGTGCTAGTGGTTTCAGACCATGGCTTGTGTTCTAAAGGGCATTAGCTGTTCCTGGAGGCTGCTATGCAGGGCAGGCCCTCTCTCGACCTGACGCTGGTTCAAGGAGAGAAAGTGTCTCTTATGGGCAGTCTGTTGAGTGATCTGCACTTGTGCCTGTGAGTGTTTTACATTCTTGTGGTTGGGTTTGTCCTTAGACTTCAGTGCTAGTGGTTTCAGACCATGGCTTGTGTTCTAAAGGGCATTAGCTGTTCCTGGAGGCTGCTATGCAGGGCAGGCCCTGGGCACAGTCCCTGAGTGACAAGGGGCTGTGTCCCCTGCCCAGGGGGAGTCTATACCATACTACACTAAACTATCTGAGGGTGTGAGCTATGAAAACTAAGCAGGACTACTTGCACAAGTGCGGCAACAAGACTCATCAAAATAAGAGCAAAGGAGGAAGAGGGTTCCAACTCACCTCACGTGGAGGTAAGAGGAACTGGAATGGCGTCATCCAGTCTCTTTTACCCTTGGTTGGGAGCACCTCTCTCTGAGGCAGCAGTACGGTGGCTAGGAGCGGGAAGAAGAGAAGCAGGCGGCTCCATGGGAGTTAGTGCTCATGGGCAGTCGGCTTTTAAACTGGCTTCCTCCGAGTACTGGCTCCCTCCTGCCCTCCACGCTGCTGCCTCTGTGGGAGACAGCAAGGAAGGGGGCAGACAGCTCTGCAGAGGCAACACACGCTCAGAGCTGGCTTAAAAGACGTCTCCCTGCGTGTACTGGCTCCCGCCTCCCCTTGCTGCCTCTGTATGAGGTAGCAAGGGGGGGTTTAAGGTGGGAGCTGGTGCCTGTGGGGAGTATTGATTAACTGTGTAAATGACTACATGCTGCCCATGCAGATTGGAACCCAGAAACCTGACTCTCAATCCCTGCTTTAAAGAACCACAAGACCATCATTCCTTCCTTTGCACTCCCCTGCAGATCACGGTTAAATTACATGTGCCTCTGTATGAGGTAGCAAGGGGGGGTTTAAGGTGGGAGCTGGTGCCTGTGGGGAGTATTGATTAACTGTGTAAATGACTACATGCTGCCCATGCAGATTGGAACCCAGAAACCTGACTCTCAATCCCTGCTTTAAAGAACCACAAGACCATCATTCCTTCCTTTGCACTCCCCTGCAGATCACGGTTAAATTACATGCTCC